TAACATAAAATTTACCATCTTAACCATTTCTAAGTGTACAGTTCCGTAGTGTTAAGTATGTTCATATTGTTGTGCAGCCGATCTCCAAAACTTTTTCATCTTGCAAATCGAAAACTATATACCTTTTACTACAATTTTCCATTCTCCCCTTCCCCTAGCCCTGGCAACTACCTTTTACCTTCTGTTTCTGTGAATTTGACCACTCTAGATAACTCTTAAGTGGAATTGTACAGTATTTTTCTTTTTGTAACTGTTTTATTTCACTTTGCATAATGTCATCAAGATTCATCCATGTTGTAGCATGTGTCAGAATTTCCTTTTAAAGCCTGGACAATATCCCATCGTATGGATAGGCCACATGTCATTCATTCATTCCTTGAGGGATGCTTGGTTGCTTCTACATCCAACTCTGTATTTTGGTATTCAACATAATCTGAGGGGTGATATTGTTCTATTAATATTTCTATAACTATTTGTCCCATGACCTCAGTTGTTAATATGAGGCACCTTTGCCCTCCCCAAATCCCTTTACCAATGTTAAGACAGGGTATCAAATTTGAAATAAGGCAGTAGAATAGCCTCAGTTTTCACTGTCTTATAAGAGCATTTAAAGGATCCACCCAAAGATGACCTGATTCTCTGGGGAAGTGTATCTTATTTGACATACTATTTGTTACTAATTAAGGCTCACACTCTATGAAATGACATGCTGATTTGTAAGATTTTATTCAGTAGTGATGCAAGGGATTTTGGTCTGGTAAAAAAAGGATGACTTTAAAGGTTATACTTTTATTGCCAAGTGTAGTATTAACTTGTGTTCTGTCTAATCTAGCAATCTTATTCCAACATTCATTCTCAGATGCCTGCATATATTTAGTTTCTCAAATAGTCTCTGCACCAGTTTTATCATTCTGCTCATTACCTCATTGACGAATTACGTAAATATTTGCCACATGCTCATGTTTATATGCAAGCCATAGTTATAACTTTAAAAAATTATGTTTTGAATTTCTTTCCTGCCAGAGTAGCCAGCATAAATAACTGCGTTCTTCATTTCAGTGAAGTTTTTGTTGCTAAGCCGTAGAGGGGCCAGGTGATGTCAGAACAGTTAAGCATGAGACCTGCATTAGGAAAAAGTAGAAAATGGCTTTCTGCTAAATATAATTATAGAATAAGTTCTTTTTTTTTTTAAAGAAGACTGACCAACAACGCAACAACGAATTTAGCTTATAAATATGTTCAAGCATTTTAATCTAATACAAGGGCAAAGTAAACCTCTGGGTTGATGTTTGGGCCGAAAACTACCAGCCTCCTCAACTCAACTGTGCAAACATCAGGCCAGGAGGCTGCTGAGACCTCAAGGTGTGTTTCCCACAAGGCGTGGTAGGGAGGCTGGCTACACTCACACAGATCTGCAGTTGCAACAGAGGATATAAAAAAATAAATAAAAGACAAAGTTTCCATAAACTCTGCATTCTCATACCCACCTGCAGCCAAACCTTCTTAATGTGGAGATGTGCCCATTTCTTGCAAAGGGTTGACTATTATGGTTCTGCTCTCTGCTGGAAAAGTGCAAATGACTGTGGAAAGCGAGCCAAAGAAAAAGTCCCTGCTGATTCCTTTCAACTCAGGGCATGTGTGTGTGCACATATGTGTGTGTGCGTGTGCATGCCTGTCTGTGTGGGGGCTGTTACTATACCATACAGACACACAGCCTGGCATTTTAAGTGTCCCAGAAATCAATTTATTCAATATTAGTGAGGAGAGGTAGCTCATTTAAAGGGTTCGTCCCTAAAGATGAGGAACATATTCTCAAGGATGGAGGTAATATATCTTAGTGGCCTTCTAATTCCCAGGTATTCCTCAAAGACAGACCAGCATCAATTAATCAATGCCTCTCTGAATTCTGCAAAATTTGTTTTTTCTTTTGTCCCATGTGAGAGTGAATGTTAAGATAAATGGTTATTGCTAGACTGAAATTAAAGGAAGTTGAGAAAAGCAAATGATGTATTTCAGTAAGTTAGTAGAAGGCCAGAGGGAATTCTGTTAAAAGCCTCCCCTACAGCTTAATCATTGTCACATTGCAAACTCTACCTTGATAAAAAGAAACATTTTAAACTATGGCCTCCCTTAATTTTCTCCATCTATGCGTGGGAGCTCTCCTCTGTGAGTTCATCTGTTTGAATTTGACTCTGAATGATTCAATCAGCCAGTGTTGCACCATAATTTGGTAGCCCTTTGGCTAAATGCAAAGGGTTGGTGGTCTCACCCTGGGTCTGCGCAGACATCTCCCTGGCATTGTTACATGACCCTGTGGAGTCAGCGGGTGACACACGAAGAAAATTTCTCTGCTGGAGTTAGTGAAGCTCCCTCCGTTTCTAGGAAATACTTCTTAATTTTGTTCTTATAATTTAACGAATCTCTACTTTTCATGATATCTTTGTATTTAGGGTCATTCCAGTCTTTTAAACAAAATTGGTATACAGCTTTTTATGGGGGGTAATGTTTTCAATTTTCACATCGATGCCATCATATTTCAGGAATAACCACAAGTGGTTAATTCTGTAATTCTTCCAGACATTTTATTTTAAACTTTAAACTTGAGGAAACCATGGTCAGTATCAATAAATGTTTATTGAGTGTCAACTGAGTATGAGCCCTGTCCCTCGCACTTTTAACAAGTCTACTCTGAGAGGTCTGCATTTCCAAGATGTTCCATTACCTGGTTTGGGAGTCAGATATTTCCCTCAAAGAGGTGTTCCTTGTTTCCTGAGTCTTAGAATTATTTTAAGTTCCCAGTTTTTAAAGCCATTATCTGTAAGACAAGAGTGCCCAGTAGTTTTCATTTACTAGGAGTTTATTTTGAGCTAGAAACTGTAGTTAGTCAAGTGTTTTACATGCATTTTTTAATTTAAATCCCCACACCAATCTGCTGAGTTGGTGCCCTATTCTTCTGAACCCCATTTTAGAGGTGAGAGCACTGAGGCTTGCTGAGAACATGCCGTCAGCTCCAGTGACACAGCCAGCGTGGAATCTAGTTTAGTCCGAGTGTGCCTGATTCCACAGTCTCTAGGCTATATTATGTGCAGTCTGGTTTTTGGTGGCCTTTTGTTAATTCCCTCTTGGTGCCCTGATATTTCAGAAGTTAATGTCATTTAGTTATACATTTTAAACCTTAGGAAACCAAGTCTGCATCAACATTTACTAAGTATTGACTGGCTCTGCACTTAATATTTTACACATCTGTTTTGCATGGTCAGGATGTCCAAATTATTTCATTAGCTCATTATTTTGGTCAGATGTATTTCTGAAGGGGACTATAATAATGAAAACTAGCTTAAATTCCCAATTATTCAGGCTATTTCATTTAAAGATGAAAACAACTAGCAGTTTCAATTCCCCAAGTGTTGAAAAATTGTGGAAAAGAAAAGCCCCAAACCAGCTTGTTAACAAATGGCTTAGCGAATGAATCAGCGGGATTGTGTTTTCTCTGGCCCTTTCTGGACGTCTTCTGTGTGTCTCCACAATCTGGGTGCAGTGTGATGCGCTGCTCCACGGAGAAACCACAGTTGAAAGAATAAACAGGGATGACAGAATAAACAGAATAAACCCCGAGTGTGGGGGAAGCTTTGCAAGTCAGGCTCCTTTCACTCACATGCCTGGCCTTCTGGGAATGGGCCCAAAGTTTTCTCTTTGAGAACTGGTGTAAACGGCTTATTGCAGCCAGTTTGTTTGATTTCTCATTGACTAGTGCAGGGTCCTGGGCAGGCACTAGCAGACTGAGGCTGCCTTTGGGGGAGCCTCACAAACTGGGCACTGGTCAGTAAACAAACACATGCACAAATGTGCTGAGGAAAGTGGGGACCTGGCACGGCACACACACATGAACACACACACACACAGACTGAGGGAGATGACCTCATAGAGAAGAAAAGAATTTATTGTTGTTGATCATTATGGATTCCACCTCCAATTCAGTGACACATTTTTCTAAAAAGATTTCCATTCTTTTGTTTCTGTTTGTTTTTATTTTTATTTTTAGTTCTGGGTATGTGTACAGGATGTGCAGGTTTGTTACAGAGGTAAACATGTGCCATGGTGGTTTGCTGCACCTATCAACCCATCACCTAGGTATTAAGCCCAGCACGCATTGGCTGTTTGTCCTAATGCTCTCCCTCCCCGACCCCATCTGCCAACAGGCCCCAGTATGTGTTGTTCCCTTGCTTGTGTCCATGTGTTCTTATCGTTCAGCTCCCACTTACAAGTGAGAACACACAGTGTTTGGTTTTCTATTCCTGTGTTAGTTTGCTGAGGATGATGGCTTCCAGCTTCATCTGTGTCCCTGCAAAGGACATGCTCTAATTCCTTTTTATGGCTGCATAGGATTCCATGGTGTATATGTACCACATTTTCTTTATCCGATCTATCACTGATGGGCATTTGGGTTGATTCCATGTCTTTGCTATTGTAAACAGTGCAACAGTGAACATACGCATACATGTATCTTTGTAATAAAATGATTTATATTCCTTTGGGTATATACCCAGTAATGGGATTGCTGGTTCAAATGGTATTTCTGGCTCTAGATCTTTGAGGAATCACCACACCGTCTTCCACAATGGTTTAAGTAATTTACATTCCCACCAACAGTGTAAAAGCGTTCCTAAGATTTCCATTTTATGTTTGTCAAGCACTCTCCTTGGAGGAAGACTAAAGGCATACACTGTCCATAAGAACTGAACACTTAGTGCTGTTAAGTAAGTTGAGTTGAGACTGCGCAAGACAAGGAAATTGCAGAGGCAGTTGATGAAAGTTGTGAAAGGAAAATGGCAGAAGAAATCTTGCATGCCCATGATGGGGGCACTCAGCAGTGGAAATAGCAAAAAGGGGGACCTATTCTACAGCAGACCTTTCTTTTTCAATAGTGCTATTGGGACCTGGGCGCATAGTCTTGCTGAGAAGAGCTACTAATATCACCTGGGAGTGAGTTGGGCCTTAAAGTCCTTGTCTGTGCAGTCTTGTGTTTTGAGCACTTTCCAGATGGTTCAAGAAGTTTGTAGAACTTATTCATAATTTATGTAGCAAAACAGCTACATTTTGGAGCCTTGATAGTAATATCACAGAGTTGGCCTGGAGGAGAGTCAAAGACAGGGACATATGTGTCACCTGGGCTGCTTTGGAGATCTCAGGACTGTGACAGGACAGTGACACCGGCCCCCAACCATAAATCACCAGTGTGCACTTATAACCTGGGCTCAGACAGATATGCTGACTCCCAAGATGGCTGCATCTTGTGTTAATGGCATATAATTCAGCCCCCCACGGAGGCTTTCCTGGAAATCTAACCATGGACTATATGTGCACTCAGTCCTGGAACTCCCTGTCTGAAAGTGCAAAAATGCCTGTTTTGGTGTTTGTTCATTTGCAGTTGTCGGATGAGCCTCTGTCCTCAGGGTCTCTGTTTCCTTCTTCGTGTCCTATGTCTCCACACTGCTCCTCTTCAAGTGCCATCTGTGAGACTCAGGGTCATCCCCCGACATTTACGGTCCTTAGCAGTAGGGTTTTCCCTAGTAGTAAATGGGAGAGAATCCTGGTTTCTAGTCACCAGGAAGCAGAAGTACGGCTGAGAGACCCTGAAACTCAAGGCCAAGTCTTGCAGGAAAGGAAGAGAATAGCAAGTTGAGCCCTGGCTGATTCAGAGTCCTTTATACTATTGAGATGTACACATTTTTTTTGGATCATATCACCTGAAAAAGCATGAGGTTTCCACCGTGACATTTATTGTGTTGTCCTTGAAACTCAGAATATTGAGAATGTGGCTGTTAACCAAAGCCTCCTGAACTGAAGGAAGTCTTCTCTTGTACAGTGTGTGAAAGCAGAGAGGAGCTGTTCATTGTAGCCTTTGAAGATCACCTCTTAATTTCCCCCTGTGTTCTTATTCTCTAATGATGTGCTTCACTCTTCTTTGGAGGGGAGCCTCCTATGTGCTGTTGGAGATCGGTACTTCCTACTGCCTTTATCATGGCCTTAGAGAAGTTCTCCTGCTGAATCTAAATGGATCTCACATTATGAAAGGAGCACCAGAGCCCTGTAGGAAGGCCAGGGCTCTATTTATTTACATTCGAGGTGGTGGCTGTGGAGGAGGAAGATTCAAAACACACAAAGTTATGTATGAATTATGATGTGATATGTTCAGCTTTTAGCTCTCTACTGGGCAGCACTTCAAAGCTTGTTTTCAATGGATTTTCTTCAGGGGGGCCACACCAGCATCCTCCAAATGGGAATCTGAGGATGCTTCCCATCTTACATCACTCACAGATCACTGCCAGAGCAACAAGAAACAGGAACCCTAACAATTTACAGTTTACCCTCTTTGATGTAAGGTGCAGTGGGGACACGAAGCCCAGGCCTCTGAGTGGGATGTAGTTGGATTGGCACAGAAAGCAAACTCTTCTTACTTTCCTCAAGAAGAAGGAAAACTACACTAGCAAATTAAAAATATTAGCAAGCTTCTACTCAGATACGTTTAGCTTGATTTGGGTCAAGGTGGGGGAACGGAAGAGTAAGGAATTCAAACAGCCTGTGCCAAGGATTTGCTGAACATGTTCTTTAAAAAAAAATGCTGACGGGCATTAAATGAAGTAACAACTGCAGATTACATGAGGGTAAACACTGCTGCTAATGTTTGACTAAAAGCTAACTGAGGGCCCTAAGTGACTCCCGTTCATTTACAGATCATGCCAGTAACAGTCCCTGGGGACTGGGGCTGCTGAAGGTGGGAGATTCGTTTTATAGCCAGAAGCCACGTTTTTAATTTTAGAAAAAGAAAACTGAAGCTGTAGGAACTGATTTAGAAACTTCAGAGGGAGAGAGAGAAAAAGAGAGGGAGAGAGGGGAGGGAGGAAAGAGAAAGAAAGAGTGAGAGGTGTAGGGGGGATGAATTGAATGTCTTTGCTGGGCTTAGGATAGAAAAGTGGCTAAGAAAAAAAAAACAGCAAGAAACACATCTAACTTTAAATAACTCTTCCAGGAGGAGAGAGTGTGCTGGGATCAAGGGTTAACTATTCCTGTGGGGTAGGGGTCTTAAATTCAAGACTGTGCCAGGGGCTCCATCGACCCCCAAATTAAAGAGTGTAAACTGCCTCATGTTATCAATAAAATTGATTTAATTTTGCAACATTTAGCTTCAAGTTAAAATTTAAATGTATGGTTGTACAGTAAATGATTTTAAAATTATAGTCCCTCCAGCATAGCCTCTCTTGACACAATTTTAAATGCTTTTTAAATGGGATGTGTAGTTTATTTGGTACATAGCAGTTGATGTCCTTAGATTGGGTTTTCATCATGTATTTTAATTTATTAAGGCTGGGATGACCATCATTGCCTAACAATTCAATGGAACAAAATGGGCTACTTCAGCACTATTTACTGCATTTTTCCATATAATATCTAAAAGTCACTCTGCAACACACACAGGCTGTGTTCATGAAAGCAAGGCTTTAACCCTTGCATTTTTCTATGTTTGAATAATTTTCTTAATAAGGCAAAAAATGTTTGCAAATTTGCACCATGATGTCAGCACGTCATTGTGAAGGAGGTAGGACTGGCCTGCACGTCAGGGATGGAGTCCTGTCCATTTGGTGTTTGCAAACCTTGAGGATCCTCATGGAAGCCCAGTAACTCCAAAGACCCTTGTTTCTTCCCAAGTTTCTGTCTCCTCTCAGGCAAGGGCAAACATATCTGCTGTGCTGGGCCGGTCTTTAGTTTTAATCTTAGAGTCTCAAAAACAAACAGTGGTAAGGTCTGGATAACATAGTTATCCATTTCTGTGTTTGCCCAGATGAAACTTTAAAAATGCTAAAAATACCAGGGCAATTTCTCTTAATTGCCCTGGATTATCAGGCTGGAGAAATGGATTGGGCAGGTATGTTCTACTCTATTAAATCTTGTGCTAACTTTACTGATACCAGCTCTTGGACTCTGGCAGCCTATTCTGCTTTTCAGCGTTCTCCAGGAATGCTCCCAGCGTGTTGGAAACCAAACTGCCTATCTGCAGAGACAGCCCTAACACCAAAACTTTTGCTTTACTAGAGAAGCCAGAAGAGAAAAATAATGCTGTTTCATCCTCTCTGACTCAGTTGACTCACTTTATGACTTTTATTGTTGGATTCCAAAGTCGATGGCTGACCTGCCTGAGGTCACCAGTCCCGTAGGACTATTTTAAAACTTTGAAAATCACAAGGCATTTTCAGTTCTTGCCACTTATGAGTTTGTGCAAATATTCTGATGAGTGATCCTTGAGGATACATCGCCTCTAAATATGAAGGTGTGCCAAGCTCTAGTGAAACTGAAAAAAAAAAGTGGCACTTCAGAGTGACCAGAATCAGTAGACATTGTTTATTACCCTTATCGTCCACATCTGATGTTAAACACAAAGACTAGGAACGCGCATGCCTGCCAGGTCAGTTTATTTGTGAACATTGAGGAATGTCTAAGGGGGATTAAGCTTTCATGTATGGAAATGCTTTCTAATTCAAATAACCCACTGTAATTTTTTAAAAAGTGACATGAATTGATGATTGTAGACACTGTCATACTGTATGACCAAACAACATGATTATAATGCTGTGGCATTTCCTTTCCTTGTCTTTAACAAAACATACGGCTTTAGGTTACATTTATCTGGGTTTTGGTTCTACTTTAACTTGAAAGATGAAATTTATGCAGTTTCTCAAGATCCCGAATCACAAAGTTGGGTAATGGCAAATGGTATCCTAACAACAATAATAGCTGAATTGTATTGTGTAGCTATTCAGTGACTGCTCTAAACAACAACCCTACAGGGCAGATACTATTGTTATTCCATTGCAAGTTTAGGAAGTGAGGCACAGAGAGAAGTCAGGCATCCACAGTCACATAGCAGTTGATGCAGGAGTGCAGATTCAGCCACACTGCCTGTTTTTATCTAGTTTTGGGCTCTGCCAGCGAGAGGAAATGTTGCTACTCTTTATTTCCAGGATCAAAGTACATATGCACACTATGTTAGCTCCACCGGACTCTGTAATCTAACTTATTTTGGCATGGCAGACCCTTCACGCTAGAGTGGAGGAAGAAGGATTGGATTTACTCTCCATCGTGCCTGAAGAATCCATCTCCTCCTACAATTTAGAATACACATTTTATTTTTAAGAGTGGGCTATTTTATTGGAAAACAATAGTAGCTACACTTAGCTTACTATTAATACATGTCAGAAGTTTTTTGAAGTACTTTCCATTTCTTTTTCAATTTATTCTCACACTATGAAGTAGACAGTATTATCATCTCCATGTTTTAAATGGGTATACTGAAACACAGATGAGTCATGTCACTTACTTCTAATTGTCTAGTTAGAGGGACACAGAGATGGGCTCACATCCAGGTAGCCAGGTCCCATGGTCCATGCTCTTAACACTACACTCTCTTTCCAATGAGCTGATAACTAGTCAGGTGATTCGAGGGTTAGCAATAAAATGATCTGGACTGAGTTCTATCACAGCTGATAGAATTGCAGAATTGTCCATTTTGTCATTAACAAGAGCAGTGCTGCCCCCCCCCCCCCGTTTCTGCCACTGTCATCATAGAACATTCCAGAAGAAAGGTCCTAGGAGGCTCTATAGAGGCTTGTGTTGTTCTCCCAGCATCTCAGACTGTGTGGTATCTAACTCTTACTTCTCTTTTTTATACCTTGGTTCTCCTGGCTCAGAATAATAAGCCCAATAACAATAACCTCTTTTTATTTGTGGTGTTTTCCAGTTTACAAAGCAATTTCTCACATTAGGTAATGTGAACCTCACTATGGTTCTATAGGGTGTGTTCAATCTTCATTGTATTGATAAGGAAACTGTAGTTCAGAAACACCCAAGGCCACAAAACATCAAAACGGGCTGGACACGGTGGCTCACACCTGTAATCCCAGCACTTTGGGAGGCTGAGGTGGGTGGATCATGAGGTCAGGAGTTCAAGACCAGCCTGGCCAAGATGGTGAAACCCTGTCTCTACTAAAAATACAAGAAAATTAGCCGGACGTGGTGGAATGCGCCTGTAATCCCAGATACTCCGGAGGCTGAGGCAGAGATTGCTTAAACCTGGTTGGGCAGAGGTTGCAGTGAGCCAAGATCGCACCACTGCACTCCAGCCTGGGTGACAGATTAAGACTCCGTCTCAAAAAAAAAAAAAAAAAAAAAAAGGTCAAAACGGGCTGGACTTAGTCTGGCTTTATAATCTCCTATCCCTTATCCCTATTCCCAAATCCTCCTGCAGTGAGAAATAACCTCTTGTAGCAGCCGTTTCAGTGGGAGTCAAAGCACTTCACAAAGCTCTCTCCTTGTTCTTTGGAACAAGTCTCTATGAAGTGGTCCAAGCAGCCACCAGAACTGGTTGGAGACCACCCACATATGCTGCCCGCACTGTATTTTATGCCTGAACTAACTTACCATGTAGACATCTTACCGTAGTGGTTGAGGATATTGGAACTACTTAGATGAAAGAACACCTAAGCCCCTGGTGGGCTTCTGTTGAACTGTGTGGGTCCATGGCACAGATAGGGCTGCAATGACAGCACTCTGTGCAGAGGAGAAAAGCGTGCTTACAATAAACAGGCCTTTGGCGTCCACCTCGCGCAGATGGAGAGAAGTGTTGCTTTTTCCTAGAGAAAAGAAATGAACAAGACCTGTTGATGGTGAATGAGTTGGGTCCCCATGCTCCCCTTTCTCTGCCATGCCCTTCAGGTGGGATGCTGGCACAGGGAGGATTAGATGTCTAGCCTACTTACTCATTCCAACTTACAGCTCACAAGGATGGAGCTTACCTGGAGGCCGCTGGAACCCCATCTGAGCATTTCAGAATAGCCCAGGCCATTTCCACAGGTCTGAATCTGTGACCTAGGGGCAGGCTCTTAGAACAACATATTCTCATATAATGTGACTAAGGTGTCCGTAGGAAAAGCTAACATCCCCTGCTCTGATCAGGCAGAAAGGAGTGAGAGGAGGAAGAGAGAGGAACCTGGAGGAAAAAAATGCAATAAAGACCTGTAAAAGGAAAACTCACGAAGCCCTTCTCTGAAGAGCCTTTAAGATGGGGTTTACCAGCAAGGTACTAGCAGACACATACGAGCAGGTTAACATCCCTGAAATAAAGCAGGAGCCAGTAATAACAGGGTTGGGCAACAGAATGCTACAGCTGGTAAGGAAGTCAGCAGCACCACACCATTAGATACAGCAATTACTTTAGATACAGGGTGGGGTCCCCAGCTCTGCAGCACACACACTCTCGGGCTGGAGAAACAGGCTCTGCTTCTGGGAAAGCGTTCTCCACCCTGGGGTACAGATCCCTGGAGCCTTAAGAAGGCGTTGCAGAAAAATTAAGCATTATCTCGTCTGAGTCCCCTAGGCTGGGTTAGAAGTTGCTTGCCGGATTATTGCACGCAGCTGGAATGGTCTTGGTGTAGGGAGGGATCTGGGCTGAAGGAAGAGAGGAGAGAAGAGAGAGGGGAGAGGGGAGAGGGCACCTGTACGCACACACACTGTAGCAGAAGCTGCAACTTTGCCGGTTACAGGGCTGTTGTGAGATAGGGTGCTTGCCACTGTGACTGGAGCCCGGACTTGCAGATCTGCTTGTCATCACTTACCCTCTCTTGGTGGTTTGGGCATGCACTTCTTTGGGGGAACAAACACAATTTTTAAAGTTCTTGAGTTTGGCAGCAGCAGCCAATCACTTGTCTCCCTGTTACCCCCTTTTTTCTAAAGTAGTCAAATGCCAGCTTCTATTTCACTAGTTTCTATTTCTGTGAAAAACATTTCAGAACTGCTTTCCTCATCCTTCCCACTAAAAATGAAACATCCCGCCCCGCCACCCTCCTGTTCTGTGCAGGAAGGGTTGGCCCACACTCACCTGATGTGTTCCCTCCTCAGTCATGGCCAGCACCAGGTGGTTGCTGCCATCAGATGATGTTCTGCTCTGGCAAGCACATGTTTTTAAGTGACTGTGCAGTACCCAGGCTTATAAAAACAAACGCACCCAGACGAAGTTCCAGCAGCCCATGGAGATACGCTGAAATTCTCTGACCTTGCTGAGCTGGGCTTTGGCTTCGCGTCTCGTCTCAGGCAGACCTGTATACATCTTCATTCATGTGCCTATTTTAGTCATTGCAAAATGCTTTATAATAATTCCAGACATGAAATGTGCACAGGAGGACTCTAGTTTGGAGCACAGGCGTTAGGATCAGAACCTCGGCTTGAATTTTGATGCAATCTATCCATATAAGTAAGTCTTTTTCACCTCTGTGCCACAGTTTTCCCGTCTACAAAATGGGACAGCAGCAACACCTGTCTGTATAGGGGTCTTGTCAGAATTGAATGAGATAAATGTTATGTATTTAGCGCAGTTCCTGGTACACAGACAAACATTAGTTCAATAAAGTTTTGCTAGTATTAGCATTCCTTGTTTTTCCAAAAAGTAGCTAATCTGAGCACACATCTGTTTATAGGAGGGGGTCTGATGGCCGGGAGGATGGGAAGAAGGAACCCACGATGAATCAAAAGTCACATTTAACTTTGTCCTCACCATTCCTCTCCTGGGCCTGTCCTAAACAGGAAGCTGGGGGAGGATGGAGTGCTGGAATGCTGCAGAAGTCTCATGGGAGGGCGCTTGGTGTTCACCACAGTCTACACTATTGCACGACCAGGTTGGCACTTTGCATGTGGGAAACGATCGGAGAATGGTGGGGGATGCTTAAGAGGCATCGCTGGAATCCTATGGCACCACAGACCAGAGCCTTCCCTTCCCTTCCTCTCCCACAGATGAAAATTTGAATGCTGGGGCTCAGTGGAACACCTGAAGGAAGCTGGTGAGGCAGATGTCCCGCTATGCCTTCCAAGTGTCCTGCAACCAGTTCATGCCTGTCAGCATCTTTGCCAGTGGACTCTGTGAGTCAGCAAATCTACAGAGCAGAGAGTCACAAGTGGGGACAGATGTGGTCAAATCCCATTTAAATCAGTGATTCTCAAACCAGGAGTTGTCATGGTACCGGCCTTGAGTGAGCTGGACCAAGGGAAGTGGTGGAATTCTCCGTGAAGGACCAAGCAACCAGATGGAAGTTTCTCCATTTTAACGTTTTCTGAGTCAATTTAGAAAAACACCTAGTGCCCTTTTCTGTACATAGTGCTAAGCAATTTGCCAAGCAAGTAAACAATTAACCAGGGCATATTGAGAGAGAGAGAGAGGGAGAACCGGATGAAATAAGTAAGGCAACTTCTTTTTGTAGCGTACCATTCAGATATTTTGTGCTTGAGATAAAGAGGCCCTACCTGATCAGCTGCAGACTTTGGTGGATAGTAGAGTTGGTGTGCCCGTGGGTTTGAATTTAAGCCTACCCAAATATGCTTTTCTCCCACCTATTTGAACCTTGCATGTTTCCAGGATAAGAATTAACATGAGCTATAAATATTCTTCCAGGACTAGTTATTAACCGTGAATGTTGAGAGGCCTTGACAAATATAAAATGTTATATATAAGCCCAAGAGTAGATCAGAGAGTTACCTGTCTGCATCAAGTGAGACTTGGCGTTTTCATTAAATTCTGCAGTCTCACAGTATTTCCAATCATTTCAGGGCAGACCAAAGTTCCGTGGTATATCTTTTTAATGTGGCAGGCCTCGAGGGTGGATTGAGTTAGGCAATTTATCCCCTTTTATGCCCTGTATTCACAGACAACACTCCAATGGGGTAACATAAAACCACAGATAGGTTTCTTTACAGCAGTATTTAAGGGAACTAGGAAAGCAGCCCAAGTCATGTGGAGAAAGCTGGGGAAAGAAGTGTCAGAGGAGAAAGGGGACCTTAGCAGAAATGACAAAAGTGAAAAACCTTCCTAACTGCTTCAGACATGTTGCTTAAAAGTGTGTTTCTTTGGCAACTTATAATTTTCTGAAGCTGGTTCTCAGCCTCAGATCCTCCCCCCAAGGTTTTTTTGTTGTATTTTGACTCAGTAGGAGTGATCTAGTCTCAGACCTTCCAGCTCTCACCAGTACACCACAGGCTCACGCCATCCAGCAATCAGATGACAGGAGGAGGAGAGGTTCAAAGAGGACTACTGTATTTCTCAGAAAGGGCTGGCTCATCTACCCTCCAGTGTATTACTCACACTGTAAATGCACAAAACATGTTAAAGTATACTGGGGCTCTGCAAAGCATGCACCCATACGCATGCACACATACACACACACTTCCAAACTGAAAAAGAGAACCGAGATCAAAAGGGGACAGTGTGCAACTGGTGCTCCACGTTGTAAGGACCCCCTCCTGTGGGTGTGGCTACCCCAGCAGGCTTGTCTGGGCATGTCCGCCCAGTTGACGCCAGGCCAAGTTTTACGCGAGGAATTGGCCTGTGTCTAAAGCTGGAGTTCAGCTTTGCTGACTATGGAGACTCATCTGTTGGTTGTCAGCAAAGAAAAGGTGGTTTTCAAAAGAGCAGCAGAGGACTCTGTCCTAGTTGCTACTGGCCAACTTTGACTCCGGTTGGAAGCTTGAGAAACAAAAATGCTATGCAGAATATCTAGTGACAGAAATAAATCAGAGATTGCCAGGGGCTGAGGGTGAGAGGAAGGAGATTGACTTCAAAGGGGCACAGATAATTTCTCAGGGTGTCAGAAATATTCTGTCTTAATTGAGGTGGTGCTACTCGACTGTATATGCTCGTAAAAATGTGTAGAACTGTGTGCCTGAAAGGGGTGAATTCTACTGTATGTAAATTATAACTCGATAAGCCTGATTTTTAAAAATACTGTAGTTTTGGAGGCCATATAAAACCAAATAACATTTTGAGTCACTAATGCCTCTTTAAGAATATTTTGGGTTTTTTTTTATTAGATTAAAAAAAAATTCTTCATGGTAAGTATTAACCCTTTAAGAGCCAAATGGAGGAGTGGAATCTGTATGTTTCAGAGTTGTTTGTGCTTTTTAGGTGGTCATTTTACACACTTAATTTTTGATTTTATTTAGAAAAAGAAGTTATGTTTATGAAGCATGAGAGCTGTAATTCCAAAAGTTGAATTGGTTTTGAGACCCCAAAGTCATGACTATGTAGAGAATTTCTAAATTCTTAAGGATAACCTATTTAGAAAAACCTAAGATATCAACTATTACAACTAATGCTTCATTATGATACCTGGATACAAACTATAAAAAAAATCCATAATTAGATAATAATTGTAAAGAGGGAAAAGATCTCTTACAATAGGGGAAAAACAAAGCAAAACCAGCAAGAATAAGAATAATAAAACCTGGAAACAAACTTGTTTGTTTATATAGGGCTTCTATCAATTTAGCTGTAAAACTTTAGTTAATATGAAAGCAGGCTTGAATAAATTGAGACATATTTTATATTATTGGATGATGTCACTTTTTCTCAAATTGATTGTTAGATCCAATATGATTCCAATCAAAATCCCAATTGGAATATTTTTGAATGAAAATGTGACTGTAAGATATCTAGAATAATTTGTGGATAAAAATAACCAATAAAGATTTATAAACAAGGTAAACTGTACTTCAGATGTTTAAAACCTGTTATAAAGCTGTAATAACATGATATTGGTATACAACTAGACAGAGAGAAGAGAATAGAGTCCCCAAACACACTCGAATATATATAAGAACTTAGTGTTTGATGAAGACACTTCAAATTAGGGAAGGAAATGAAAGATTATGCCAGTGAATAGTGCTGGGGAAATTAATTCAGTTTTTAAGGGAAGAGACCCAAATCATATCCCTAAATAAAGTCTGAATGAATTAAATAATTAAATTTTAAAATATGAAAACACAAATGAGTAAAAGAAATTATGGTAAATATCCATCAACTCGCAATGTATAGAAGCACTTTTTAAACAAAAAGGTAGAGGAAGAATCTATAAAACAGAAGACAGAATGTTTTTACATAAAAATTATAAACATATACATCAAAACTCATGATTAAAAAAGCATAAGGCAAAGAATAACTTGAAAAAAAGGCAAAATAGAAGACAAAGGTTAACATGGTTAATACGTGAAGAGCTTCCGAAGTCAATGATTAGAAGTTAAATATCCTAAGCAGAAAAATTTTCAATATTCACAAAAAAGTAATTTGTACAAGCAGAAAAAAATTAGACAATAAATCATGAAAAAATTTCAGGCTCACTATTTATTTAAAAATAATTTAAAAAGACACCAATTTCCATCCATTAAATTAGTAAATATTTTAAATTTCAAAAAACCTTGATAATTACATAGTTGGGTAAAAGTTCAAGATAAAGGAAAATCTTATCCACTGCTGATGGAAGTATAACAATCTTTTAAATTTTCTGATTAGAAATGTGGCAATATGTATGTATTCAAAGACTTAAAACTGTAAACAATATTTGACCTAATAATTCCTTCTTAAGGAATCTATCCTTGCTTCAGATACAATTTTAGGAAATACAAGGATTTAGGTATAAGGATGTTTATTGCAAGGTTACTTGTGACTGAAAAATTCTAGAAATAGGCTTAATTAATGACAGTTCATCTGTAGGCATGGAAAACCACATTCTCAGGAATATTTAAGGCTTTGGAAGAAATATAAAAAGTAACATGAAGTGAAAAATATAAGAGGCAAAGTTGCATGTACAATAGAGCTGTGGGTAGATTTGGCTATATATGTACATACATACATATGTACACACACAGAAAAAAGACTGGAAGGATTTGCATCAATGAAATGTTAATAGTGGTTCTTAGGATAGTGGAATGATTAGTGGGTTTTTATTACCTTTATGTGGTACTTTTTCAAATCTTCTGTAAAAAGGTTGTATTAACTTTATGATTAGAAGTATAAACATTATTTTTGTAATTTTCTTTGCTATCAAGGGCTCCCTCTGCTGCTCACCTAAAAAATTATGAAGAGTTGGCTTCCTACTTCTCATTCCTGATTTTCCTCATCTCCTAATAGCCTCTGTTCTAGATCTTGTGACCACTCTCCACTTATTTACCTTAGAAGCAGACTCTTCTAATTTGAGTATTTGGAATTATATGTCAAGTTCTAGACTTTTGTTTTTAATTGAGATATAACTCACATACACTAGTCATCCATTTAAAGGGTACGATTCAGTGGCTTTTAAGTATATTCACAGAGTTGTGCAAATGTCACCATGATCTAATTCCAGAATATTTCTCTCACCCCCAAAAGAAAACTTATGCTCATTATCAGTAACCCTTGATTACTTCTTGCTGCCATCCCTGGTAACCACTAAACTACTCTTAGTGTTTATGGTGTTGGGGCTGAGAAAATGATACCCCGCACAGTGGTGC